TTAAATTATATCGTATGACAACATATGATGACTGACAATGAATTTACATACTTGAATGGTGACGTGCTTGTCATCAATAGCTCCAATGCAATGAACGAAATTCCATCTTTCGTAATCATTGGCGATATCCAGCCAGTCTCTTTCTTCAAGTCGGCCTGGAAGAACCAAAGGGCACAAAGAATCCCAAATTGCTTCGCATATTTCGCGAATAATAATTCTCGCTGTTGTCACTCCCACGAGATATTGATAGGACATCGATATCATGGAGTCCCCGGAAGCAAGATATCTACAATATTTCATAATAACATAATATTCATGCATTAAACAGAAATGTACAACATTGTTATATACATTTAAAAAAACACAAAGTTCAAAAAAATTATATTTGGATCAATCCAAACAAACCTCAATGTTAATGCCAATCGTTCAGCTGCACAGTGGGCCGGAAGACCCGAAAAAGTGGCCAAAATTAATAAAATAAACTAATCTCTTTCATGCACCCTATAGGTGAGATTTTTGGAGTCACTGATTCCGAATCTGATATCAAAAATTGTAAATTCAAAATTGCGGATCCAATATGGCTACCAAAATTACCTTTTTGAATCGAATATGCATGAAAGTCGGTACTAAAGAGTTTTTGGGATCGCTGATTTTGAATCTGATGTCAAGAACTGTAAATTGAAAATGGCGGATTCAATATGGCGACCAAAATTATTATTTTTTATTGATTATGTTCTTGAAACACGGTACTTAAATTGTAGACAATAATTTGGGGTGCTTTTTTAATGTGAGTCCCCTTGCCTCTCACAATTCTTCATGCTTTTTTGCTGCGAGTCTCCTCGCGCCTTTTCTATGAACTACTCTTCTCCTGATAACTCTATCTCATCTAAATTTGGCATGAGTTCTGAAAAACCAGATAAATCTTCCTGAATTTCATCCTTAGAAATAATGCTGCTTGTTGCATCTGTATCAGGAATTGAAAAAGGCTCTAGAACATCTGGGGAGAAGGGCAGTCGTTTCTGGTTTTTAATACATTTCAAGGCTTATGGATGACACTATTGGATCTGAAGTATCCATTACACGGTAGAAGATATCTTCAAGATTTGTTTTACGACTATGTTTTCTACTGTGATCCTTCCTATATCTCTTGTAGTCTTTGTTCCTGGCTTCCGACGCTTCCTCGCCAAGCATTCCGACAGGCAATAAGCTTGTTGAAATAATTTGCATCAAGGTCTTATGCACTGTCGATGGCATTGGATACCATGGATAGCACTTGATATATAGCTCAGCTGTAGCATGGGATAGTTTTTCGAAACGATTAGGATCGAGTGGAAGCTGGCAAGACAAAGCAATAAGAATTGTCTTAAATTTGTGTATTAGCTGGCGATCTAGATTAAGACAATCAGCAAACAAATCTGGATTTTCGAAAGCTCGATGAGCTGTATTCCCATCATTGTTGGTACTGCCTCCTCCAGATTTGGGCTTATCGGCTTTCAGCCCTAGCTTTTCCCAAATAATATTTTGGACCACTTTCTTTCTTATAGCAAATTCTCTTTTATCTTCTGCTGATCGTACCTGCCATTTATTAATGATGATTCTGTAAGATATATAAAGGCAGCATTCAAAAAATCTAATCCACGCATGAAGTGGACTAATTCCATGCTGCAATGACTGCGGATCAGCCAGAAACGTTCCTTTGTCTTTATTTGATAGATCATTGAAGTATTCAGGCGTTGCATGACAAATTGGACAGCTCTGAGATGATTTAATATTAGTAGTAGCGTTCAGCACTTTGCCGTTTATTAAGGTCAATAACAAAGAAAAATGAACCCGTATGGTACTATCTTCCACGACAATCTCAAAAATGTTCAGTTTTTTTATTTGATCCTCTATCAACTGTTTTTGTCTAAAGATAACGTCTATGGATTCTTTTACAAATTCGAGCTTTATCGGGCGACAAAACCTCGAAGATTGTGGTGCTCGATTATTCCATAGTATAAGACCAGTCGACGTAGCTAGTCGAAGAGGAATGACAGTAGTCGCGAATAAACTTTCGTCGCTCATATTTTCTTTGCTCTGCCATTTTTGTTGATAAGCCGAATGTCCTGTACTTCCATCGAATCCCCAGGTACACGTTAGCACGGTGTCAATTTCCATACAGTCAGTTCTTTGCAGAGTTTGAAGTATGACTGTGGCTTGCATATCCATTATATATAATAATCCGTTTTGCAGTGTGATTTAAAAGCGGTTGTACTGCTACTTCAGCTACATTTTCGTGAATCGAAATTGTTTCTTTCGGCGGCCTACACTTTTTCTTAACTGCCCTGACATCATTATAAATTGGCCAAATATCTGCTCCGCAAGACTTTGATTCTAAGCGCATATTTAAATAAGAGCTTCTGGAAAGACAATTATCTAATATGAATGCCAAGGCTTCCTCAAGAGTTTTTTTGATTATCGTAGGGTTCAATATATCCAGCAATTTCCTTATTTTTGCAGGACGTTGTGGACTTTTTGAAATTTCCTTCAGAATTGCGATTAAGTCCTTGTGACCCGATTGTCTTGCCGCATGACGAAAAGCCATTACGATTCTTAAAGGATCATGCTTGCATTGGGCACTAATATCGGCAGATTCTCGTCGTTGCAAGCGCTTAGATTTATTTTTGAATTCTATAGAAGAACGACCAGGGCGTATTTCAGAAGAAGGTTTTTCTATATTATTTGTTATATTTAAATCAGGAATTTTGAACTCGGAATTCAACTATTCCTCATTCAGCGGATTAAATTTTTTTATCATTCTCTTAGCAGCTACGAATTTTTCATTCCGCTTTGACTGAAGTGCGCTGACAGTCTTTCTTAACTTTTGCAGATTGTCTGGCATTACATCTCCTATATTAACTTTCATTTTCGATAATATCAAGAGACACGGTAGTGTCTCGCGCCAAGTTCATGCGAAGCTGCGAGATACTCCGGGTATCTATACGCGAATCGGACAGTTGAGAGTACCTTAGATTATCAGATCTGAATAACGGCTGAACCGATCGAATTCTTGATAGGCTTAATCGATAGCTTGGGTTTGATTTATATGAAGAAAATGTCTTTATTTTCGCTCTACATGTTCTATAAGCAGAGATATTACGACGCAAAGTCGAAATGTGGAAATTTTCATTTAAGAAACGTCACTGTCACCGTCGCCCTAATACGTGTATACACGTACACAACACATACAAAGAAATATAGTGGTATCGCGCTACACGCATATACAGGGTGTCCTAGACCACCGTACACCCCTTTTCTTTCAAAAACTAAGCATTTTAGAGAAAAACGTTAATTCCATTTAAGAAATTAAAGGTGTCCTTAATTTGACCTTAACGATGCCATCCAAGGTCAAACCAATGACACCATCTTATGTTTCCCTCAAAACCATACAATTTTTGTTCAAAACGTTTTACTCTAAAATGCTTAGTTTTTGAAAGAAAAGGGGTGTACGGGTGGTCTAGGACACCCTGTACACGTATACACAATACATGCAATATACAAATGTATTAATGTCGTACAGTTCATGCGCTCGACAGAAGATCGCACTACTATCGGCGCTCTACGTTATCGGCGCTCTATGTTAGCAGCCGTATTCTTCCTTTCTCGCTCTTTTCCGTTTTTTCTCTTTCTCTCTCCTTTCTCTTTTCATTTTGCTCTTTATCGCGTTCTCGAGCAATTCGATATTGCTTATTGATTGAGTGTATACGCGATATCTAATATATGAATTGTTAATTAAAAGTAAAGCTCGACCACACGAACAAAGTTGCACGAGATACGCGGAAGGTTATTTTATTATGTATGATATACCGATGATAACTATCTGTAATCCGTATACCGACTATATCGTTTGATATGTCAAATATTATCCGCATACCGACTACATCCTTTGTAATGTCAAATATTATGTATATAGATAAACAAAATGGTTATGCATACATGTTTATGTATACATGTGTATAATTTTATATATATAGTATTCCTAGAACATGTAGAGTAAAAAATGAAGACTTTTCGTATCGTATATATATAATTTATTATTTGAATAGGGGAAAAAAACCTAAAGAATATTTACGAAACCTTTTCGATTTATTTGGTTTTGTACAGATTTACTATAAATTTATTATTGTTAATAATACTATCTTATATTTGTATTTATTTAAAGATGTTAACATATACTACAAAAAAAATGATATCCCTAAAAACTTACCTTTTTAAAAAAGGTATAAAAAAAGCGCCAAGTACACGCGCCACTTGTGAAAAACTGTATTTATATATATTTATAAAATAGTGTTATTTTAAATTATTGGAAATAAAAACTTATAAAAATATTTTAACCAAAAAGAAATTGTATAAATATATCCTACAAAAATAATGATATCAACAACTTGCGCCAAATTAAATATATTTCTATAAATTAAATTTATTATTTGTTGGTTTTAATATATACATTGAAAATTAGCAGCGCCAAGTTTTTTTAATTAAATTTTTTAGTTTTTTAATTAAATAAGATAAAATATGTAATTATTTACAATGTATTTTTCTAAATAATTATTTTTTTTACACTAATTGATTTGTCTCATTATTCTGTACATAAAAGTATTATGGTAAGATTATCGAAAATTAAATATTTTACGAGGTATTTTATTTTTTATATCAAAATATGTCAGATTAAGATATGACCCTCTCGATGGCGGGCCACCTTGATGTGGTAAAAGGGCTCCCCTGAAGCTTCCTGCAGCATTGCAGGAAGTGGAAAGGATCTAAGAGCTTGCCTAGGGGAAGGAGAACCCCGAAACAAATCCGGAGGCTGGCCCGTGAGCGGGGAGGTTCGCACCCTTGCACCGGATAGAGGAGCAAACTTCGATAAGAAAACCGTTGGGGATTAAGGGCCTGGATGGGTTTTTCTTTTTGTGGGGTGGGTTTGGGAATTAAGGGTAGGGTTTTCTGAGGTTTTGGTGTGGATGGGTGTAACTCCAGGTATGCGGAGTTGGTTTCCAGTGAGGTAATAGAGCTACGCCGGCGGGGAAGTCTTCCCTAGTAGGTTTAACCATGCCGGACAGGTCTAGGAGATAGGGTCCATTAAAGCGTACTTAGAGGATAGTGGCCCTTAAATCAAATCCACTCCTCGTAGCAGAAGGTGTCAAGATACCGTGCCGAGACGCTCATGGCCGCAGCGAGGGGAATTGTGCGGTCGCAAACGGTTCCCCCGGGGAACCTGTCGAAACCCCGGGGTATCTAGGCTTATCTTGGCAAGGCGGCTCTACCAAGGCGGACAGACTGCGACCACACTCGTGGGACAAATATGAAGTGTAATAATTCTAAAAACCAAAAACATAACTGGGGAAAGGGGGTGAGACCCGTTCGTGTCTGGAAGTTCCAGCCAACACGGAGGCTAGCTTAGAGGAAACGACCGACGCAAGCCCCGCATCTACGTCGGTAGGTACGACCAACAGTGCCAAAGTCGGAAGTAGCAGAAACGCGGTAAGAGACAGAGTGCAGCCCTACTCCACCAAGGCCTGCACAGTCAGTTTCGTTGCCACAGATGCCGCTACAAGAAAAGGGTGGAAGATGAAGGGAGAAGCGGGGAAAGATCGGGGGGAACGGTCGTCGTCTGTACGATCCCGTAGCCCCACCCCGCAGGGAGAGGCTCACTTGCGCACAGTACAATTGGACACGTTGCAATTGCACACTGTGATATTAGACACATAAAGTTGCGCACCGTTCGATTGGACACATTTCACTTGCGCACAGTTCGTTTGGACACATTTCATTTGCGCACCGTTCAATTGGACACGTTGTTTTTGGACGCAACACATGTTTTTGTATAATTTGGAATACATATACACGCATGTATAATTTTGAAATTTTTTGACATTTATTATTAACTTTATTTGATAAATAAATGTTTGTTACAGTTCGTTTACACACATTTCGTTTACACACAGTTCTTTTGCGCACATTTCTTTTGCGCACATTTCTTTTGCGCACATTTCTTTTGCGAACATTTCTTTTGCGCACATTTCTTTTGCGAACATTTCTTTTGCGCACATTTCTTTTGCGAACATTTCTTTTGCGCAAACGGTGCGCAAATAAAATGTGTCCAAACGAATTGTACGCAATTGAAATGTGTCCAATCGAACGGTGCGCAACTTTATGTGTCTAATATCACAGTGTGCAATTGCAACGTGTACAATTGTACTGTGCGCAAGTGAAGACTTCTCCACCCCAGAGAGAAAAAGAAAAAAGGAAGAGGAAGAGTCACATTCGCAGGAAACGTTAACTCCTGCCTGTGGCCTCCATCTTCGAGGCGGTGACAGGCTCTGTCCATCCGAATGGCGAAGACAGCGATGCCTCTTTTACGTCGGCGAAAACTGATGTCCAAAAGAAGAGAGGCAAAGGACGCCCCGAACAACAGGGGAGTATAGGCGCAAAAAAGAGAGGGATACCAAACGCGCCGAAGAGGAGGATTTTCGACGAAAGCTGGAGATATACGATCCCACCGTCAGACCGTCCGATACAAGGGCGAGATCCAAGTTGCTGTCAGAGGCCGAGATTATCGAAGAGTTTAAGGAAACTCATACATTGGCGATCTCAGCGGTGGCCCTTGAGGCGGCAATAATCGACAAAGTTGCCGAATGCTTAAAGGACCTAGAGGGCACGAATGTCCGTCGATTAAGGGAGGCGGCAAGGACGATTTCTGCAGTCACCACTATAGCGACTCGCGCGCAGCAAGGTGATGCTGTAGTAGCGGAGACGGAGATGGGATCCCTCCGTAGGGAGTTGTGCTCACTCCGCTACGAAAATCAGAAGATGAAGGAGAGAATGCAACACCTACTCACCCAGTCTTCAGCGGAGGCCCCGCAACCTCAAAAGCTCCCAAAAGTTATCTCCAACGTGGTAGTTAGAGAGAGTTGCGTGATGGAGAGAAAGAGACCTCCGATTCCAGAGAGGAGAGAGGAAACAATACCCTCCGCTCCAATGGAAGAGGAGCAAGAAATTATGGAGTTAGAACCACTCCCATCTACGAACAGTGCTACTGAGACAGCCTTTAAGATCCCCAAGGTTCCCCCCAGGGTCCCTAAAGCACCACCAAGCGCTGCAAAAGTCAAGATCCCTCCCCCTCCTTCTCTCACTGCTGCATCCCAAACAGAGATGGATGGAACAGCGAGAAGACTGGAGGAAGAACTGACGGAGAGGATAAATTCCCTCATAGCAGAGAGAGAGAGGTTGAGAAGCAGCTTCGGTTTAAATCCGACATCTGCAATCAACAGAGGAAAGGTCCTGTCTCCCCCTCAGGGGAAGAGCAAAAAACAAGGGAAAGGACGGCAGCAGCGGAGAAACCAGAGGCCTCCCCAATACCGCCAAGCAACGGGCCGAAAAAAATCACGAGAAGGGGACTATAAGCCCCCAATCCTCATCCACTCAGCCCGCGGGAGGAAACCCTCCAACTTCCTCGCACTCTCCAGAAGCAGAGTCCTGGACGGTGGTCACAAGTAGTGGGAAAGCCAGGAAGGGAAATCCCGCCCCCTTTTCTCTCCCGACAGGCACTAAGACCTATGCGGAAGTTATGAGAGAGGGAGGGAAAAAGGCGACTTATGCCGGCGCCAAAAAGCAACCGGCCGCGCCTAAAGGAAAAGGAGGAGCCCCTGAAGTTTCCCCTCGTAAAAGGGGACCAACAAAGGGCAACAGGCAGAAGGTGGCGGTCAAACCACCGAATACAAAGAAAAGGAAGATCCTTCGAACCGCAGATGCCTCTGTTGCGTGCCCAGAGGGAGAGTACGAGGAGGTAGTAAGAAATCTCCGCAGCCAGATTAAAATAAAGGAGCTGGGGATCTCTGGCCTCAGAGCCAGGAGAGCTTTGTCTGGCGCCCTCCTCTTCGAAGTACCAGGAAGGAAATGCAAAGGCGGAAATCTTAGCTTCCCGGATGAGAAAAGTCCTACAAGGGAAGGAAGGGATAATAATCTCCCGCCCCACAAAGAAAGCGGAACTGAGAATTCGCGACCTTGAGGAATCCATAGAGGTTTGGGAGATCGCGCAAGCTGTTGCAAAGATAGGCTCTTGTGGATAGCTACAGGTGAAGGTTGGAGCCGTCAGGAGAGCTCCAAATGGCCTAGGCTCAGTCTGGGTACAATGTCCAGTGGCGGTCGCAAACAAGATAGTCGCTGCTGATAGGATCCAAATAAGCTGGATCATGGCCCGAGTAGAGATGCACGCCCCCTCCAATGTGTTAAATGCTTGGAACGGGGACACGTGCAGTCCAACTGCAGTAGCGGAGTTGATCGCAGTCGACGATGCTACAGATGCGGAGACGCTGGCCATGTGGCCAAGGATTGCCAGTTCTCTCCCAAGTGCCCAGTCTGTACGGACCTGGGGAGACCCGCAAATCACAGAGCGGGCCTGCGCACCTGCGCCTAAAAAACATAGAAAGAGGTTAGAGGTAGGAGGCGCGGTTAGAATGACAGTCACTACTGTGGCTAAGAAAACCGCGGACGCCCCCGTTGCCGCGGTCTCTCAGACAAAAGAGGGACCCGCGGTAAAACAGAGGGCGTATAAGCCAGGTCCAAAATCGTCTAAAAGAACGATAGAAGACAGAGGGACGGAGTCAGATCCAGGGAGTTATTTGAACCTTTCCAAAAGAAGCATCAAGGAACCGGAACAGAAAGAAGAAGAGAAGGCTCAGATGGACGTCGACATCGCCATGACGTAAGAGGAGACATCGGTGGAGGCCGGATCTGTCAACAAATAGTATGGCAGTCCGAATCCTCCAATCAAATTTGAATCATGCCCGGGGGCACAAGATCTCTTTATGCAGACACTCGCGCAGCATGATTTTAGTTTGAGGATAGCTGCGGAGCCGTACCGTGTCCCAGATAAACACCCATGTGGCACATGTACGCGGTTTGCGCTTGTGTGCGTTACCCCTTCCATTGCTGAGCCGTGAGCCGCGGGACCCGTTTCTGGCATCACTGTCTGGGCCCACGCGGTAAGCCTTTTCAGGAAGAGGATCGGGAATTGGAGGGAACTGTTTCAGGAAATATCTGTACCAATTTTCTCGAGTCTGGTCTTCGTGAAAATCTGACCCTTTTTCGGTATCGAAAGATTTCTGTTCGAAATCTTCCGGTTCCTCTTTGAGGTCTGGTCATTCCTCTACGAAGTCCTAGAGGGCTTCCTTAATGTCGTGCGACGCGAGGCGTGAAGAGGAAGGGGGAGTAGGAATTCTCGACGGTTGATGATCGAGAGAAGGTGAATAATCGAAGGGTGGAGGGGGAGTAGGAAGATTTGTCGGGTGAGATTGTTCAGAAAAGGCAGATGAATAATCGAAAGGAGGAGAGAGAGTATAAATTCTCAAAGGTTGAAAATGAAAAGTCTATTGAGTACTGACAAGTAACACTAGGGAAGCGTCATACGGCGATTTTCCTGAAACTTGGCATACAAGTAGTACATGGAAAACTATTAGACACGTATATTGTTATATCGGCCCGAAAGCCGTTTGAAGGGTAGAAATCACCCTTATCTATTTTGGGGGTAGGTTCGACTATTTCACGAATTATTTTTACGATTGTTGCAAAATCAGGTAACTAAGGGTTTTTGGGGTCGCTGATAACGAATCTGAAGTCCGTTTTTAAGAATTCAAAATGGCGGATCCAATATAGCGGTCGCATTTTTTCAAAAGTTTTACTCCCTGTCAAAAAGTGCGAAAATTGCAAAAAAGTAAGAAATGAGCGTAACTTTGAGGCGAATTTGTAGCAAAAAGGTCCTAATCGAGAACTACCCCTAACAGTAACGAAACATCGAAAACCATCCCTACATGTAGTGATGCATATAAAAATCAATCAATCCTTAGCGCTACCCAGAATGAACGACGTGGACGTGATAGGGTTCTCATCCCATTGGGGTGCTTTTTGAACATGAGTCCCCTTGCCTCTCACGAATCTAGGTGCTTTTCGACTTACACTTTAAATTTAGTGCAGTAATGTGGAGAGTTAGCGTTTGTTACGGCAAAGAAGTGCTGCATGCACATTGATGTCATACACCAAGCACATTTAATTATTGCAATATCATTGCAGAGTTCACATGTGCCATTGCAGTTTTTCAAACAGAAATCTGCAGGGGCTTCGCATTTGTCGGGTTTTTCTGCAATATACCCACACTTCCACCAAGCGTATCGAAATATATTCTTAAATCTGGGCGAGGAAAACTGGTTATGTATTAAAGACTGTATTTTGAGGATGTTATTCCTTAAATGTAAATTTACATCACAGTTATACAGCATGACAATATCAGAAAATTGTCTTAAAAAATTCTTCCAAGGTCTAAAAGTGTAAACGTCCAGCGGTTGAATTAAACCAGTGGTTCCAGCGGGAATCGTAAAAATTTGGACGTTTTTATTGTCTTTATCAATATTGTCAAACTTTTCTCAGTCTGGCCAGTCCAAGAATCTAACAAAAGAACAGAGTTTTCCCCGGTGTTTAGTAAAAAAACGTTTGCGAACCAATTAATGGCAAGGTCGGATGTTAATTTGCCTGATTTTGATGCAAATACGACAATATTGTCTGCTTTGTACAAAGTTTTCTCAACGATTGGTCCAAATTTACCACTAGTCTCTTGCAGGACTATTAACGGAGATTTAAAGGGGACTTTAAATCTCCGTTGGCAGAAACGATTGGCTGAATAGTGTAGCTGTGCGTCAAAGAATTCAAAGATTGCGCTAAACACTCGACTTTCAATGATCCTTTTAAAGCAAGCGTGCGACCTGCATGCGTTTCTAAATTGAACCCCGATTGATCGGAATTATAGACATTGTCTTCACCTACCAACACGATCTCTGATTTTACTCTAGAAATAAATTCGCTTGATGCTTGTAATAATTTTTCCTTTGACGATATTTGTTTTTTAGTCACAAATTTATTTATCTTTCTCGATACAATTCCATGATTCACTTTAAAATTATGTACCCAAAATGTGGAAGCAGTGAATAATGTCGGTGACAAATTGATTTCTTCTCTAGCCCGTAAAGCCCATCTTTTTATATCAATGTCATGAATAGAAAGCGATCTTTCAGAGGAAATTTTGAATTGATCCAAAACATACTTCGAAATTTGTAATAATTTTTCATTGCTCGTGCCACCTTCTTTAATTTGTGCCTCCCACCTATACAATGACCTCAAACCAGAAACTTTCTTAAATCTGTGCTGAACTGACTTTAAAGGCAAAGCTTTTGTCTTCCCGGAACGCCAAAATTGTACAGCCTTTGTTTTATATTTGATATCAATATCAATTATAGTTTTCTTGCAATCCTTTATTGATTCTTCGAAATCACTTTGAGAAACCTCATCAACAGGAATTGCTTCAGGATATACACTTTCTTCATTAAAGCTTAAAGTATCAATGCTTTCGACAAATATCTGTGCATCTATAGCATCTTTAATTAAATTCTCCAAATTAGCTGCAAAAGATTTTTCCTCGTCTGTAATAACTGAATACACATCATATTCAGGAGAACTAAAACTTCTTTGTAATAAAAGAACAATGTTTCTTGGATTCATCGACATTATCTTTACAGGTACTTTAAATCAGTGCTCGGAATTAGTTGCCCTTTTCGGTCGGATTTCTGAAGCGAGTAGTGAGGGTCCCCCCACTACCGTTCGAGCCTCGACAGCCGAGCCGCCGATCGCGCGGGTAACGCTGTGCCTCACACAGGAGCGTCTCTACAGGGTGATTCAAAACAACCTTCTGTCCTTACAATGTCATATACTTGACTCAATTCTAAGACGATTTTTCCTTTGCCAAAATTTTTTCCGAGGCTTAGTTTTCAAATTATAAGCCAAAATAGTTAACGAATTACGGGCCGCGTACGCGAGGCAGGCAGGGGCGGCGCAACTCACCGTCCAACCAATTAATGGCAAGGTCGGATGTTAATTTGCCTGATTTTGATGCAAATACGACAATATTGTCTGCTTTGTACAAAGTTTTCTCAACGATTGGTCCAAATTTACCACTAGTCTCTTGCAGAACTATTAATAAAGGGGACTTTAAATCTCCGTTGGCAGAAACGATTGGCTGAATAGTGTAGCTGTGCGTCAAAGAATTCAAAGATTGCGCTAAACACTCGACTTTCAATGATCTTCAAACGGCTTTCGGGCCGATATAACAATATACGTGTCTAATAGTTTTCCATGTACTACTTGTATGCCAAGTTTCAGGAAAATCGCCGTATGACACTTCCCTAGTGTTACTTGTGAGTCCGAAAATTCTATTAGATTTAAATTTTCGTAGTTTGAATACAATATACCACGATTTTTCGTTCGAGACCAATATCGCATTATTTTTTTTATCGTATTCCAGTGTAATTTGTTGTATTTATCTAAATATCGACAAACGACGCCAACCGCATAGGCAATATCGGGACGTGATACAAATGACAAAAATAATAATGTGCCTACGGCTTCGCGATACGGTACTGTTGATTTTATAGTGTCTTCTACACTAGTTGCTTGCAGTTTTACGTGAGGATCCGCAGGAATCGACAATGGAGGTGCATCTATCATGATTGAATCGCGCTAACATACATTCAATGTATAACCGTTAGTTAATAAAAATTGAATTTTCTTGGCGATTTCGTTTTACTTGAATACCTAAGAAATTATCTGAATTCCCGTTTGTAATTTCGAATACATCGTGTATTTTCTTTAAAATATCAATTAGCAATTTTTTGTCCGTGGTTAAGATAAGACCATCATCAACGTACAATGCAATCATAATCTTACCGTTTTTTTTTCCTGAAAATATACGCATAGATCTGCACTAGACTGACAGAATCCAATTCGCTTCAGAAATGTATCGAATCGCTCATTCCAGCATCTCGCTGATTGTTTAAGTCCGTAAAGTGATTTTCGCAATTCACATACTACATCTTTATCGCATACTTTGACACCGTCTGTTAATTGCATATATATATCTTCTCAGAGTTCGCTGTTAATAAAAGCCGTTTTCACATCAAGTGACCG